GGACGCGGCCTCAGCATGGCCGGAGAAGCGGTGCGTCGGTGCGCGCCTGGGATCCAAACCCGGGCCGCCAGTAGCGGAGCGCACGCACTTAACCGCTAAGCCACGGGGCTGGCCCTAAAATATTTCTTTCTAGAGAGGTAATAATATGAGACTGTATAAACCAGTCAGAATTGAGATTTTATGAGAAATTAAAAGGCTTAAGTGGTCAGAGTTGTTCTTATGGAGGAGATGAAGCGTGTTCCCATAGCCTTCCATGTCACCACTCTGTTCATGTAAAACGCCCTGCAGAGGAACTCACCGTGACAAGAGATAGACTCTGAGATACTCATTATTGATCCTCTCATCAACTGTCTAGGTGACCTTGAAGAGTTAAATTCCATTTTTCAGTTTACAAAGACACTTGGCTAAAATGTTGGCAAAACTGAAAAATGCCATGATCACGTTGACTGCGTTTTCCCTGTGTAATCACATATTCAGCTGTCAGGCCGCACTATAGATCAAGTCTTCCACATCAAGTTCGTTCTGAGGCATTTGTGTGGTAAATACCTTGGACTGTTTCCCTCAGGGAGGAGTAGTTGTAACTTAGAGGGTAGAATTGTCTCTTTCCACAGGAATCAGTGGTGGAGCCCTGTTCACCCATGACCACAGTCATTAACTGGATTCATAGATCTTCAACTTTTAGGATTAGTCTTTGGGGAAAATACCTGGAAGTTACTGCCTCTGAACTATGAGAGCCCCTATCCCATCCCTTTGTTCTCTCTCCCGCCTTTCCCAACAGCCCTCTCCCTTCTCCCACTTCCACTGGCCTTCTTCCTCGTCCGTTCTAAGTATTGCTTTCAGTCAGCTGTGGAATTGTATTATCACTCAATCGCAGATTGAGTAAAGAAAAATGCGTTTAAATAAATGTGTTTTCCTATACGAATTTAAGTCATAGTTGCACATCCTTCTAGTTGCTGCATGTGGGACGCGGCCTCAGCATGGCCGGAGAAGCGGTGCGTCGGTGCGCGCCTGGGATCCAAACCCGGGCCGCCAGTAGCGGAGCGCACGCACTTAACCGAATTTAAGTCCTTTCAATACATGCTGTTCTTGAATTACATTTTTGGGTGATTGACAACTTGAAGCCATTACAGAACAGCTTAATCATGGGATTAGTACTAATAATTTATTCCTTGTGCCTTGGGTACAACTAATGCTAGTTTTTTCCTGCAGTTAATCTCTGAAAGTTAAATATGCACTATATATGCACTTGTATATATATCGGCTGTTATATATTTTATAGCTAAAACTTGTATCAAGTAAAAGCACTTAAACAGTTTTTAAGGGTAATCATTAATTTGATTAGTGAAAAGTCCACAGTAGTTTCATGGTATTTCTTCCTGCTCTCTTGAATGTGAGTTCTTTAGAATTGTTTTCCAAGCAGAGATTTCATTTCTTGTTCCAAAGGAAAGATAACAACTTCTTTCAATGGAAACTATTAAAATGGGTTATTGATAACTGGTAACTGGCGTCTACAAAAGATCTTAGCACATTGTAATTTACTGAAGAGGGAGGTTTTGGTATTTATCAAGTGTCAGTAAAGTGATTCCAGTATCTCTTTTGACAAGATAATTGGGTAAAATTGCACATTGGGCAAACTGAATTGTAGGCACAGAAGAATTAAGTGGATGGGCAAAGGGGAAAGTAATGTTGATTGAGAGAGTATGTTCAGAATCAAGTCAAACACAGATGAACTAAAACCGTTATGATTTAGTCATTGTCCATTTTGTCGATGAGTGTGTTGTGAATACTCTGTTTATCAGGGTGTTAGGAATGAAGTATGACAGGAGAACACTTTTATTGCTGCTGAGAGAGAACTAATGTCTGTGTTATAGAAAGAATCCTGTTTTTGAAATGGTTAATGTGGGCGTTTGACCTTCATCAGTGAATGGCTACTTTGTGATAAAGTGCACAGAACACACATTGAGTCCAGACAGATCTGGATGCTTTGTCTTAGGCAAGTCACGTAACCTCTCTGACGGCAGTTTCTCATCTGTAAGTTGTAGTTACCTAGATTTAATTTACCTAGCATAGTAATCAGCATAATAAGTGCAAGTTGTTTTCCCTCCTCCATTGGGCATGTTGTTTTGCCTGCAGATCTTTCTCAATATGAATCATCTTAATGGGGTTGCACAGCTTCTTATTTACTTCTCCACTACATTATTTTCAGACTTCATTTTGCAGATTATGAGGGAACATCAGAAATTCTGTGAGTCACTTTGATGGACCACTGTGTGTATAATATCTTTCAGAGATGACATTGCGTATTTTGAATAGTGATGGTATAAAGAGTATTTTCAACCAGCCATCTATTTATACTACTCTTTCTTGCACAGGCTTTGTGCTTTCTTGTCTTGTTCACATTATTTTTGCTTCATTCCTTTCTACAATGCCAAGCTCAGGTACTACTTCATTAAGCTTTCTGTTATTATTGATACCTGCCTGCTCTGAAGTCATAGCTTTACTGAACCTACTCTTAAGTGGAATATACTTGCGTGCACTTTGTCAGCCCATCCCATTATTTTGCATTGTTGTTTAACTCTAAGTATTTATAACTCGACCAGATTTTCAAACCGCTGGATGAGAGCTCTATGTTATAGATCTTTATATGCTCCCCAGTGCTGAGCACAGTGCCTTGTCCATAGAGGACGCCTGAGTTTTTGTTCATCCACTAATCTATTTGGCAGTCATAAGACACGTGTTGAACGTTTCCTTTATACCACACACTGGTGCTTGGAACTGAGAAACTAGAGATAAAGAAGATGTGGTATTGCCTTTGCCACAAGTCGTACATAGCCTAGTGAGGGAGACAGACAAGGTAATAAATAGTTAAAGCGTGTCATGAGGAGGCGACCAGGGACATTTTTATATATGGGAATATTTTTGTAAATGTTTGACTTGTATCTTAATAGAAAAATAGGGAAGTGAAAATTAAAAGAGCATTTTAAAATTACTTTGATATTTTGACTTTATAGATTGCTGCTGTTATCCCAGGTATTATCATACTCTTATAAAAATTTTAAAATATAATTTGTATTAACTTTATCTATATAAATGAAAAGCATGTCTTGGCACTTTCTAAAAGTGGGAATTCCAATAAACAGGGTATCATATTTCGGAGGTGTTGCCTTTAAACTATATGAAATCTAGCTTTGATACTACCAAAGCTCTCACTTACTGCCCCCAGATACTTTCAGTGCTATTGCTGAGAGCCCTGGAAATTGGGCATTCCTGTTAGTGCCAAGGGCTGCCTGAAGGACTCTTAAAATTAGACAGTTTGAAGCTCATCCTGCGTGGGGCGTCAGGATTACACTGGGCTGGAGGCACTATGTTCTGCCCAGGGAGAAGCATAAGAACAAAATTAAGCCCTCCTCCCCTTCACCCAAAAAAATACAAACTGATCAACCAAACAAAACTCCTTTAAATTTTTTTTCCCAACAGTTTAACCTTAAATGACTTTTTACATTGCGTTATAGAGACATCTAATAAGTCAAGATGAAAATATTAACACATGCATTTTATTCAGATAGTATTCATTACTAGAGATAATTCAAGTGAAAGTGCAAATATCTATTCTTTCCTATTTTAATTTTATTTAAACACAGTATCAAATGTGGGTCTACTGGATATTAATTCAAGGCTATTGGATGTAAAACTTATGCTTAAAAGTTGGGGTTGTTTCTTTCCCTCACCATCTCCTATATTCTTGAAATAGTAGGGTAGTCTACATTTCTGTAATGAAGCTGAGATTTGAAATTTTTCTTGTGACATAAGTAAATAATGCCTAGTGGAAACTGACAAATCTGGGTTCATTTCCTAGCTATGTTAAGCATTGAGCAACTCTCCCCGCCACAGGAATGTGAAGTAATGCCTACTTCACAGGCTTGCTGTACTCACACAAGATAACATGAAAATTGTATAGTAAGAAGGTGTTTAACATGTTTGTTTCTCTTTATATAAACTACCTGCATCCTGGTGGTTTACTATCTTTGATTAGACAGGAAAAAGGGACTTGTAAGAAGTAGCCTTTCTTCCTGGGTTTAAAAAGAAAAAGCATGTTGTTTAATAAAGGAACCAAATCTTAACACAATTTCTTTGTCTTTTAATTTCAGTTTATCCACAGTAGAAATTGAAAATCGAGCCCAAGCCCTTCATCTCTTTGAGACTTTGAAGACTGATCCTGAAGCCTTTCACGAGCGTATGGTCAAGTATATCTACCCCACTCTTGGTGGCTTTGACCATGGAAGGCTGCTGTATTATTTCACTCTTCTAGAAAACTGTGGCTACGCAGATTTTGGGAAATATGCCATTAAACCAGAAACCCATATTCGGCTGCTGAAGAAATTTAAGATAGTTGCATCAGGTAAGATGATCATTTCCTTGCTTGAACTCATTCTTTAAATTAAATCCATGGATTAATTTTCTGCACACAATCATATTCATGCATTGTGGCTAGCATAGATCTGAAACCGCAGGATTTTGATGCTAATTGACTTTAGTTGTTATCTTTCCAACTCTTTCACTTACTGTTGAAGGAATTAAATACCAGAAAAACTGAGAAACCTATTGAAAGTCACGCAGTGACTTATAGTAGACTTGGTAGTACTAAAATCCAAAGTTTTTGACTAATGCCTCAGAGGTCTTTTCCCTACTCCCATTGGTTATATTTAATCTATACAAATGACAAGGCTGAGACACTTTACAATAGGCAATTTGGCAGAATTTGACTTCAGTAGAGCCTATATGTTTTAAGTTTTTATGGAACCCTTAAAATAGGCCTTTGAATCTTTGATAAATTGTGGAAATTTTAGAATGGTGTCTGTGTATCTTTATGCTCATATCTAAGAAATTAAACACATCAATATCTCTCAAATATGTATGATGCTTGTCTTTGACAAGGCACTTTCAAATCTGTATTCATTTGATATTCCTAATAATTGTGAGAATTTACTTCAGTTTATCAATGGTTTACTGAGTAATCAAATTAGACGCTGGACTAGACAGAGGATGAGGAGGAAGATTCAATCTCTGCCTTCAAGTAGTTGATGAGATGCCAGATGAATAACAAATGAATATAATGCAGTTTGGTGGGTGCACTGAGAGAGGGATTGAAGAAGTGAGGAGATGTGATTTCCAGTGCACAAATGAGGAAACTGAGGCACACAGAAGTTGAATGACCTGTCAAGGATTGCACAGTTGATTAAGTTGCAGGCTGGGACTAGAACTCAGATCCACTGATCTATCTAATTGATGAACTAAACTATCTACTCTAATTGGTAGATAAATCTTTTCCTTCAGCCATCCAGAGTGCTGTATGTGTGTTCGAAAGATCCTGTATGTTTATGTTTAAATGAACTATTCTCTTTTTATTTTCTTTCCAATAGGTCTTAATTACAAAAAGCTAACAGATGAAAATATAAATCCTCTTGAAGCATTGGAGCCAGTTCTTTCAAGTCAAAATATCTTATCTATTTCCAAACTTGTTCCCAAAATCCCTGAAAGGGATGGACGGATGCTTTCCCCAAGCTCTCTGTACACCATCTGGTTACAAAAGTTGTTCTGGAATGGAGACCCTCACCTTATTAAACAAGTCCCGGCGTCCTCTCCAGAGTGGCTTCATGCCTATGATGTCTGCATGAAGTACTTTGATCGCCTCCACCCGGGTGACCTCATCACTGTGGTGGATGCAGTTACATTTTCTCCAAAAGCTGTGACCAAGGTAACCAAAAAGACTTTAAAGTAGATTGAATGCTTTAGAAGAAATGAAAATTGCTCTTAATATTCTGTAGATTTTGTTTTTATTTCTTTTCTTGAAATGAGGAATACTTACATGTTTGGCACGTTAGTTTTTTGCCAAGCATGAAGTGTTTTAATTGGGAAATGCTTTTCATCTATCACAGATGTGCAAGTAGTCTGAATCAGACTTGACTGTTCTCATATACATATACATTTTGTACATGTTACAGTTCTCATAATTTGTCATTTTATAGTAAATATCCCATCCTGTTCTTTCCAAGTGACAAGTGGAAAGAACCTCCAGTCCCCAGCCCACATTACCTGCATTCGGAGCCAGGCTAACAGCTTAGCTGTGGTTACATTGAGCCCTTAAACAATTTCACATGAATACCACGTGTTATATGAGTTGGTGATAGAATTTTCCATAGGAGTGGAGTCTAGGTTGCATTTTCCGATGTCTACTCCATGCTCCAGTCTGAGCCCTTTAACTAGCCTCTAATTCCTGCTCTCTATCCTTCAGCAATGTATAGTTTCAATCAGAATAGATAATGTGGGTCCTTCTCCTCTCCTTCTTGCCCTCTCACCCAGACATCACTGTTAAAGGTGTGTGAATTTCTCACTACTTGGACCCAAGGCATTATCTCTCTTAGAAAATCTCCCAGCCTCTGGTCTCAGCTGCTGAGCTGTATTGCCTTTAGAACTTCCTTTTCGTCTTCTCTTGCCCAGCAAATTTCCCTCAAGTTGGCAAGTCTGCCCAGTACCCTAACCCAAGTATTTTTATTCGAGCTAATATTATCCTGAAAATTGAGTGTAAAGGCTGAGAACTCAAGTCGTTCATTTGGAGGTTGGCATAGGTAGAGGTTCAAACATCTACGGGAAATATTAGTTTTAACTAGCTCGCTAGATTAATAGCTACATATAACCAAGGACTTCATTTCCTTATTATTGTAACTTAAGTTGCTTAGTTAATAACTTGGTTTTAAACTTTACATCCACTGCTATAAAAATGAGATAATCATTTTTGTTGTTTTCAAGGAAGAAAATAAGGATGATATTAAAGGGAGATAGCATGATATTTTTTAAAAAAACACAAGGTTGGAGTCATATAAACCTGGCTTTGAACTCTGAACCTGCCACTTATCAGCTCTGTGGTTTAGCCTCAGGCATCTTTGTTAGAATTTGCCTCCTTGAGGCAGAGGCTGTGGCTGAGTAATCTGTGAAGTAGATAATATTATTACCCAAATTTTAATAGGTGAGGAAATTGAGGTTCAACAAAGGTAACTTGATAATAGGGGAGCCACAATTTGAACTCATGGAGGCTTATTCCAGGGCCTTTGCTCTTAACCCCTGAACTGTACTATTTCTAGGAAGTCGCAGACCAAGCCACTAGAGTCAAGGGACCTGGAGCCATTCTAGGAACTGTGGGAGAGCAGTGGGACCAGAGGCCCCGAGCATTTTCAGTTCAAGTGGAGCAGCCTGCCATGCGATGTGTCCAGAGCAGGGCTGAGTCTAGATGAGGAAGGCCAGGCAGGAACCTGGCAAAGTATGGGAAAAGACAAGAGTCCAGCAAACATTGGTTTCGAATCTCCAAGAAGGAGAAGAGGTTCAAAGTCCAAGTAGGTATTAGCAATGCAGGAAGTATGTATTGAAGGGAAGGGACTAAACCGAGTGGGGACTTGAAATCCAAGGAAATGGCTCTAGAGCTGGGAACTGTGAATTGGCTGAAGGAGCTAGTCAAGCAAACAGACCAGCCAGGAGGACTCTGTTTCCCTCCCCGCAGGCTGAAGGAGATTTTAAATATTTTATGTGAGGGCAGGAACAAAGCCCAGCATAGCCAGCTGAGGCCATTTGCTAATTGTGAGCATGTAGATGGACTGGACAGTTCTAGACTTTCCAACAGCAATTATTTACTCATGATTAAACTTGAGACTTGGATGTAGAGTCCACGCAGCATTTAGTTATTTATGATGTTTTAAGTCAGGCGATTTTCAATTATAACACTTTCTCATTACCTTAGTTTCTAATGTTATACCTTTAAAGTGTCCTCCAACCACTTGAAAATGTATGACACAATTGTTTGTACACATATGTGCATTTTTCCTGAGGAAAAGATGCATAGCTGACCCAAGAAGGATTGAGTGAGTTAATTATGGTATTGCTTTCTCTTAGTTCAGATGGTGTAATCTTCAGCAAGATATTCTTTATTGTAAACTATCTCAAGGGGTGTTTTTCTCGAGTCAGGTAAGGTATAGAAAAGTGAGACATAAACATTTAAAATTAATTTTACGTTTTTAGTCTAGCTTTGTATTTTTCCTCATTTTATTAATTTTAAACTTTTAATTTTCCATCAGAGAGGAAAAGTATAAAGTTTAGATACAGTGCATATTTGTAATCATCCGATGCTGTCCTAGAGAGAGAGAATATAAAATTCAAATTGAAATACAACCCACACATGTCAGAGGACACATTTGGAAAAGGAAATGCAGCTGGCTTTGGCCAAATTTGCAAAGCACCAGATGTTCCCACAGCTTGTATATGATGTTAAAAATGTAAAATAAGTGTATACTATTCATATATAGTGTGCAGTTTTCAAATGTGTACCCACCTTTAATGCAGAACCAAACTTTTGGAAAGAAGTGGTGAACTAATTCTGTAGTGCATAACAAGAACGGTAAACAATTGTTCATATACTAGAAATCTGACAGGAATATCCCCAAAGCTTGAATTTAGTACCCATTCCATGATAAAATAAACCAGAGAAGGATCTTTGCCCTCATGATAATAGTCTATTCAGTTGCCATTTGCGTTGGCAGAATTCTTAGAAATTCCAGGGGAAATATTGACAAGACGGTATTATGTCATGTAGGCAGATTAAATTTGCATGGCATTTGAGGTGATAACTATGCAGAAGGGAAAAGAATAGAAACATTTAAAGCACATTTGCCGGCCCAGTGGTATAGTGGTTAAGTTCGTGCACTCTGCTTTGGCGGCCCTGGGTTTGCACGTTTGGATCCTGGGTGTGGACCTACACACCGCTCATTGAGCCATGCCGTGGTGGCGTCCCACATACAAAATAGAGGAAGATTGGCACAGATGTTAGCTCAGAGCCAATCTTCCTCACCAAAAAAAAAATAAAGTGCGTTTGCTCTAAATCTAAATTGTTTTGTTTGGGTTGAGTCAGGTTAGCCTTGCTCTGCTATTTCTTTTCCAATTCAGCTATTAGAAACATTTTTGTAGAAGGGACAGAGAGCAAGTTACTGGGTTAGAAATTGAGGAAAATGGTCAAAGAAGTGGAAATGCAGGTCAAAACAGTATTTGCTTGGTTCAGACATGATGTGGTTAGATAAGGGGGAGCTTAAATGTAATCTCAGCCTTCTTGTTTTTTACTTCCCATTCACCTTCAATTGCTGGTATAGCTGCATCCGTAAATGAGGATATGGAGAATCCTCCTCTCACTTATGACATGCTACCCAGAAGTTTGTCAGGATCCTTCTGTAAAAGCCCCAGGTAATCAGAGAATTAGAAGAGGCCTTCTAGTATCCTGCCCAGGGCTTTTCAACCTGGAATTGGATAGACACTTACTCGCCCCCCCAAATGTACCCTCTGTTCCAGCTCCCACCATTTGTTTCTGATGAGAACATGCTGTCTCCTTTGGGTTAGAACAGAAAAATATTTAGAACCTCTTCTCTAATCTGACCTCTGACCTTCAAGCATCATTTCTATTGATAATTCAGCTATAACTCCTCATATATATATATAAGGCATCTTTCTTTGGGCTCCTTATAGTTCCCACTTTTTGGTCCTGCCTTCTGGAGCCATGAAAACCACATAAGGGCACCTCTTTTTCATATTATGACTGTTCAAATTCTTGAAGTAAGCTACTGTTTTCTCCCTTATCCTGTTGTCCAGACTATTTGACATAAAAATCTAGAAGAATAAATTTATCTTAAAAACCATGATGTGAACCTAGAAATAAAATTTATTTCATAAGTTTAAGTCTCAATCAAAAGGCTGCATTGTAGCTATAACTTTAGGGTCTTCACAGTGCTAATATTATTTTTTTAACTAAGGATGCAGCGCATTTTTCACCATAATGAGCAATCAGTGTCTGAAACCTATGTAAAAATGTTCGGATAATGCATATTACCTGATTGTATGGCATGATACATGACTTTCTGGTGCATAACTTAAATGCATATTATGTAGATTCAGATTGAATCACTAAGTATTTAGGCATTAGCTATGTGCCGTATATAATATTACTTGTTGTTGGTGACATTAAGATGTAAAAGACATTCCTGTAAGAAACTTAAAATGAAGGTTTTTTCTCTACAGTAAAATTATTTTAATTGAGAATTACACTCCCCATTGAATTAGAAATTCTTTGAGGGTAGATAATAGTGTCTTTTCTCTCTAATTCTTTAGTTACTAGCACAGTATAAAGTAGGTACTCCTTAAGTGATTATCCTTAAGTGATTATTTAGATAATTATCACAGATTGGTGATTCTTAAAACTTTCGATCTCTGGATGCATTAACATTCTTGAAAATTATTGAGGACCCTAAAGAACTTTTCTTTATTAAGTTTATAATCATTGATATCTATCATATTGGAAGTTAAAATCAAGAAATTTTAGAAATATTAATTCATTTAAAACTACCAATAATGGCCCCATTATAGGTTGACATGAATAGTATATTTTAATGGAAAATAACTGTATTTCCAAAAGAAAAAAAATTAATGAAAGAATGACAGTGTTTTACATTTACATGTCTGACTTAATAGAACACAGCTGGATTCTCATATGTGTTTCTGTGTTCAGTCTTTGTTGTTTTGGTTGAAGTAACTGAAGAAAATCTAGCCTTAGACAGATATCAGGTTGGAAAAGGGAGGAGTGCTTTAATAGTCTAAAATGTGGGGTTCTTCTTTGATACTACACTGAAACTCAACAAGTGATAGATACTTAAAAGACTAGTTGCAATG